CTCCCACTCACATGGAGCAGCCTGCCCTCAAAAGCTTAGCAAAAAATTGTTCCTATGGAGGCGGAACAAATATTTCCCGCAGATATGGAGTTCATTTGAGATTCCGTCTTCCGTGATTGTTGAGATGATACCAAACGGCTCTGCAAGTGGAACTGCGACACATGACCCTTGAAGTAAGTGTATTCTCTCCCTCCCTGCTGGAGGCCTGCGAAGCAGCTAAACTATCCACCAACGGGTTCAAGGCGACACGGAGGGAGAGAATCCGCACGTATGCTTCGTGCTTTCTTGCAACTATTAGAATAGATGGTTCTGTCACGCAACATAAATAGTTCACTGGGCTGGAATATTCATTTTTCTATAGAAAGGAAACTGACATCTGGAAACCTTCTGGTTTGTAAAAGCAGAAGGAATGAAAGATGGAAACAAGGTAATATAAAACAAATTGCAGTTATTTTGTCGCTGATGGCACTTTTAATAATGTTTTGATAAAAGAACGATTCCGTAAAATATTGAAATGTTGAAAGATTCACCCTTTTCTGTAATTTGTATGTAAACAAGTTGCATCAATGTTGTTCTTATAAATGTGTGCTTTCATAAATAAACCCCCATTGCTAGAAGAGCAGTATTTTTTTAACTTTATACATTTCTTCCTGAGCTACTGAGGTTCCACAAAGCAGTTGCAAAATGATTAGTGTTTTTTTCCACAACTTTGACTCTTGAGCTTTCTCTTCCAATTAGGATCCCAAATAAAAAATGTCATTACTAGCAACCATTCAAGATTTCACTTATTTACCAGCAAGCATTAACTGAATTGTTTTAATCCCTAATGGCCGTGACATTTTACAATCAACAGAGACGGTGGCAGGCTGTTACCAATCAAACGTTCTGATTAACTGCAAGAAAAACTCCTCTGCAGGTGAACAAGGCCAGTTGAGATCTGTGTGTGCAGTCACAGTTTTGGTCAATGTTTATACACACACACACACACACACACACACACACACACACACACACATATTCATTATATATATATATATATATATATATATATAAACTAGACATGTATTTATCTGATCTTATCTTTTCTTGTTTCTTCATACTGGACTCACAAAGCACTTTCTAGTGTATATTTAGTTGTTACCTCAGCAATAACACTCTTCTTGGGCTTCATACCACAATCCCTCTGAATATCACAGATCGGAGATGTATGTCAGCGGATACTCTTACTTCAGCGGAAGATGCTTATGAACTGATTCACTCTGCACACACACACACACACACACACACACACACACACAGTTCCCAGTAGAGATTGTAAGTATGAGCATAAATCATGTAAGTGTGCTCAGTAAACACTCGTCAGGTGGATGAAGCTCAGAGACAAGAAAAGAGATATACGATCCCCTGTGGTTCCCTGTATGATCCTCTTCAATGAATATTCAAACATTTGCATTCAAATTATGATAAATATTTAATAATGCATAACGCACAGGATTATTCCTCTCTGCAGTAGACTGGGGGCAGTTTTCTTTGCACGAGAAACATTAGAGGCTAAAACTTCCAAGCATTTATTTCAACTAGTAATGCAGATATGACGTGTTTAGTTGCTTATTTTGTTGGACGTTTCTTAAGTAACACACACTGTGTGTGTATGGTCAGCTGCATGATTGATTACCTGAATTTAATATTCTGGGAATGTCTGAAAAAAGCATTATTACGATTAGGTATAAGTACAACAAAAAGAGAAGTGTGTGTACCCAGCGTGCATCTATGCGAGCGTGTGTAAACGTTGAGATTAGTTCATGTATACTATATTGTTCATATATTGCATGGAATATATTAACTAGTGATGTATTGGTACGATGCTCGGCATGGTAAAAGAAGAACGCGGTCTCGCCTTTTGACTCCGATCCAGAAGTGAGGTGGAATAGATCAATGTGAGGGTCATGTGGCCCAGGAGGTCGCCATGCTACCACTACTGCTGGTACTCTGTCATTAAAGACAATTTGAAAGTAGTCTCATTTGTTAGTAGATCTCTAGCATGCAGTTACATCAATAGTGATCTTAATGTTTTTAGGAAAGCGTTGGTAGGTGAATATCTATTAGCTATGTGTCTTTCTAGTCAATGTTTCACACATCTCCATAACAGAGGTTAGAGATTATATCGCGCCGAGGGTATGAGCGTCACACCATGTTTAACAAATACAGGAATGTTTTGGAGTCGTCAGTGGAAATGAATCAATATTTCCTCACTTTGTCTCACATTGGTGCCTGTTGTATGCGGCCCTCTGTTGAGCAAGCAGGTGACGAATTCAAAAATGTAATTGGATTTTTTGATTCAACTGGCACGTATGTCATTATGAACCCTTTTTTATTCATTTGTGCATGAAAAACAAATCAACTTAGAACTCCCCAAGCTGAGGAGTGTAACTAAAGCTGCAATCAACATCTGTACAATTCCTTTCCCCGAGCCTACACGAGGTTCGCTCCCCCTGCAAATAGGTTCTTGCACTCAGCAGCATATTAAAGTCCAGCTTTTTAGAGCAGCATATTCGTGCTTTCAGAGTGGTCCATTTTTCAGCAGACTCTCTAATCTTCATACGGGCCATATCATCATCCATTGTAAAGTGAGTTTTGTTCAAAACTGATATGTGCGAGGGTTAGTACAATAATGCTCTTTGCATGCTTAAACATCCAAAAATGCTCCGAAATGTTCATTTCCAGCGCGGCTGAAAACACATTACTGCTATGGAGGTCTGCATCCCTGGAATGATAATGCCCAGGGAATTTTGAAAGGAAGATAAACCGATTGAAGGTCTTCCAAAGCTGTAGCTCATACATGTTCTGTACATTGTAGTTTATAGATTCAGGAACTGCGTCCTTACTGACAAGCTTTTGCTCTCACATCACAGCTGTCTGAATGAAAGAACAGATGCATCTTAAGAACTCTGCATACGACATGAGGCGATATGAAGAGTTCAAGCTCGAATCATGAAGTTTTTGGGGCTAGACCCGTCACATGCTCATCAGGTAGACGTTGGTACCTAATTCAATACAATGATGCAAAACAAACTTTGATAGTGGTGGAAAAACTTTATCACTAATTTCTGTTTTATTTAGCTGCTAAACTGTAAAACTTATCTAGGTTTATGCCTAAAACCATTTACATTTGAATGTCATGATACGTTAGAAGCCACATAGAGGGGGAGGGTTCCCCCCAGGAGGAGACTATTTGTGTCCTACGTGAAGCCAAAAGTCAACGATGCAAATTGCCAACGGCAATACGACTTTGGGCAAAAACTGGATTCTTTGGAAACCTGACAAAAAAAGGTCCACTAACCATTAGATTAGCCTCAGGTCAGGTTGAATTTCTCTATAACAGATATAACATTACTTGTATCTAAAGTGACTTACATTGCATTTTTAACCCATGGGAGTTAGGGGTCAGGTGTCTTCCTCAGGGACACTTCAACATGGGAGACGGAGCAGCCGGGGTTTGAACCTCCAACCTTGCAGTTCCCAGCACACCCTCTCTACTCCATGCGCCACAGTCACAACCATAACCTCCGTCAGACGACAACACCATGAGGATTGAGCTACGCCCAAAGCCCATGGATCAGCTGTCACAAGCCCGGAGACCCGATCATGCGGGATTCTGAGAGGCAGGTGAATGCCGACGGGCAAAGACAAGACCACGAGGCCAATTTCGACAACTCTGATAAGCGAATGTCCACGAGACGGCAATGGATTTAACAAAAGTCCTAATGTGGGCAAAGTAAAAAGAAGCAGGGTTTCATCAGAAGCCAGAAGCAGATGGGGCGTTTTATTCATCTTGATTCGTAGAACACCTGTTGATTAAACAGCCTGATTGATACAACTGATGCTCTCTGGTGACCCCTCCTATTTGTAATGAAGACAAATTAAAGTCCTCCATCAAAATGGGATCAATGCCAGAGAGCCTCTGGCTGAAATGGGCACCATGGTATAATTAAGCTATTTTTCAACTTAACTGCATGTGAAATGAACATTTCCAATTGACGACTTTCCTGTTCATTTATTGCCTCTTTTGTGCTGTGTGTCAATTTGAGAAAATGTCTACTTATACAGCAGTTATCCCAAAGAACAATTACCGTGGTTACAATATTTACAGAATGTTTTTTAGAATGTTGTTGATCGATCCATTGGTTCAATCACAGTTGATTGATTGTTCGCCAACCATTACAAAGTCTTCGGATTTATTGTGCAGCACAACATTAACACCTAGCTTTACAATGACAAGCAATGGAAACACAATCAGAGTTAAGACTCTTTACTTTTCATCATTTATGCTTCCTTATGACAAAAAGTCACAAAACGTCAGCTGACATCTAAAGGGCACTTTTAATGTCTGCTATATTAGAACATATCATGAACCTTAAATAGTAATGCATTCATTTACTAAACATCCTTTTGTGACTAGTCAATTTGTTTGATTACTATTGGATGATTTTTATAGAAACCTAAACATAATGTAACAGTTTTCACCATCTGATGTCTTTGCTATTTAGGGTTTGCCAAATGATGATTGTTAAAGTGTCCACTCCTGATAAAATCATGCCCATATTCCTGATCTATGAAAATATATTAAAAAAAGAATATATCCATCCCCACTGGGATGAGGTGAACTCTCCTCATTCACATTCAGGATGATATTGCTAACTTTTTCTTAGTGCCTTGTACAACACTATGAGCAAAGCCAGAATGCATAATCCCTGTGATTGGGTGTCTTAAGCAAACAATGGCTTGCTTACTTAAAAAAAAGTCCTTGTTGAATGGATGGTACATCCCTATTATTTCAAACCAGTGCGGCAAAAATATGTCTGCTTATGGCAAATCTACTGGAGGTTGCTCCTTTCTAAACTACGGCTTTCATACTGTCACTTGCCCCAAATACATATGAATAAGGACTTCACAAAAGGCAGCTTTGGCATGCATCAAAAGTTCTTAATAAGATGCTTTACCTGCAAGGCACCCCATAAGTGACTGCAGCACCAGCAGTTTCCATAGCAACATCATCTTCAATTTTGTCGGGTCAAAGTAGTCTCACATCAAATCACAAGTGTATGGAATCCGATTTGCACCTTTCTGGTCTCCCGGTCTGTAGAAAAACAGAAAAAAAGACACATGAGATGAGTAAAGTGGCCGGGTTCTCATTAGCAGCTTTGTCTGCTCAGCGTGCACATCTAACTAAACACCAAAAGACAGCGGGAATATCGAAAGAGTGCAGCGAAAGTATTAATTAGGGACTGCTTTTATACCAACTTTAAACCTGTGACCTCATGCCGCGTTTAATTAATACCTTTTAAAATTGTCACTATGATTTTTTTAGTAACTCTCCATCAGTAAATTCACAGTACAGCACAGTAATAAACTACTACTATAAAATGGGGTTTCAGTTTTTGGGATGATGGTGGACACATCAACACAAAATATCTCATATACATATCTCCAGCAACTCCAGGGAGAGATACTTTGAAGTCAATATGAAAGCAGAGCCTCTCCTTTGAGTTCTCCAAGTATTGTTCCTGCTTGGAACCTCATAGCTTTTAAACTCAGCAAAGGGCAAAGCAGAGAGATGAAAAAGGCCCCAAACAGCTTCAAGATGCTTTTCCCTCAATGCTGACAATATCTCCCTGGGGTGAGGATTAAAAGTCGAAAGTTCTTTGAGTGTCAAGAAGACGTCTACTCTTCGAGTAGTCGAGAAAGAAAAGAATCTAGTTATCTAGTTTCTAAATCTCATCAATATTCTCTCTGATGTTTATGGCTAAAGAAGTGGTGACAGATGGTTTTGCCAGCATAATCTTTATGAACTAGTTTTATTCCTGAAAACGGCAAAATAGGTTTTGCCAGGTGGATTTATGTTCACGTCAAGTGGAGCAAGTCATTTCTCTACAAATGTATGGGCCATTGTCCACGTTTGGCATTGTGCCTCACTGGACAGTAGAAACAAGGATGGGGAAAGAGGAATGCAACACGCAACACAGGCCATTGAACCATATGGTAGGCCTCTTAACCACGTGGCTATCACGCTAGTTATAAAAGCCCACGCAAAGCGTCGTCAGCCACAGGACACGCGTTAACCGGTGAACACACTGACACCAGCAGGAAGAGAGCGTCGTTGTCCGTCCGTCCCGTCCGGGATGTAAATAGGGAAATAAAGGGAAGAAGTGGGGAAGACACAAAAAAAAGTTCCAGAGGCAGTGTCAGACACTGCCTCTGGAACAGCTGTATTGATGTGATAAATAAAGCGATGCAATGAGATAAAAGGTGAAAGCAACCTTTTAGAGAGTTTCACTGACAAACAACAAACAAAACCTATTTTTAGAGTTGAGGCATGCTCAAAACAAACCTCTCACATGGCTAACTGTGTACAATAACTATTTGTGCAATTTTGCAGTTGCACAGGGGATCAAAAGAACAATGTTATTCCACCCATAGAGTCAGCGTGGACAGAAAAGACAAAAAATAAACTGACCGAGTGGAGCAAACACACAAAAAGGAACCTGTAACTGTTTGAAAAGGGCACATTCTCATTAATCTGAGATGCTTTACTCTGTGCTGTCTCCAGCACTTTCATCTCCACACATACAGTTAGCGGAGTCGGTCTTTGGTACATCAATGGTGCATGGCTACGCCTTACTCTTAGAGAGGTTTTACGCATTTGAAAGTGTGTCTTATGAAAGCACCAAGCCCCGCGCCTATTAGGCTAATGCCTGTTTCAGTGATGCTTCCTTTTTAATTAGTCACATAAGAGCTAATCTGATGGATGAAATAAGTAGAAAACATTTAGTGATGCGCACAGGGGCATTACCGGCACCAAAAGAGAGCTCCGTTTTGGAGACACTGTGGTCCAAGCAAACTATGTATCCACAAGGTAATGAAGGCCAAAGCCAAGTAGACCCTTTGATGTTTTAACAAGTTAAAAAAGAATCCTCCCAATCCTCTTCCCTAATTAACTATTAACAAGTTAAAGGTTCTCCATATAAATTGCCTCCACACGGCTCTCAAAATGGCGGCCACAGAGCACATGGTTAGCAGCTATGTTAGCTGCTAAAGAAGACGTACAATGAGCACAAGGGCCGAGGTCCTGCAGACACACACACAGGTAGATAGAGAGGCAGGTTGTGCAAACCTTTCCTTGGACCAAATGAAAGTATTTAAAGATACATTTTTTTCTTTTTTGCCCTACATTTAATACAGTTAATGCATAGATCTTTATCCGTGTGGCATGTTAGCGCCTCATCAGGGTGGTAAATCTCGTTAGAGAACTCAGCATGCAATCGTAGAACTTAGTTACATTTATTTCTCTCCTTCTGCTGCTTTTGTTACTGCAGAAACAGACTTTATCAGAGAACCGCCTCAGCCCCCCCTTTTCCAACTCGACCTGATAAAGCACCCGGCCAGCTAAAGATAACACACTGCCTCACAAATTCGCTCTTGCCTATTGCAGCTGTAATCTATTTAGTTACTTGATGCTTGGGAAAAATGGAAGTTGATCTATGTTCTGGAGACGAAGAGCATATCCAGCTGTGCCTTGTTAACGAAGGCACCGGCGAGCTTCACAGGGCTTACTGCTCACCTGTGATGGCAGAAGTACACTACATTGAGACACAGTGCATACTGATTTACAAAGACCACCTTTGGCGACAGTTAACAAAAGCAAGGGATGGCAAAACGGCGATGAAATGAACGTTGACGCTCTGTTATTGTCAAAATAATTTGAATTATTCACACTGACGTGCACAGACTACAACATTTCAATGTCATCAACCGCCATATTGAGAGATCGACAGACTTAACAAAATAACCACTAAATGTAAAAAATGTTGTGCACACACATTAGGTTCAAAATTGTTCCAAAGAAAAACTACACAATGACACATGCATGACAAAGCATTCACAACATTAGTGTCTACCTGATAATGGGTTTTTGAACAAAGATGATATGTATTTTTTGTATTTTTAAAATTAGATTTTGGTTGTCTTTGAGAAATATGCACCGTGTTTGTTGCCCGAAATTTGACAATACATCGAACAATCCAGAATGGATGCATTGAAAACTCTCGCTCAAAGAGGAGACTGATGCCTTTGTGCAGAATTGAATTAAATTTGATTGGGAGAAGATAACACGTTTGGTTAATGTACCGGTCCAACAAGCGCCATCGCTGTATTCTCAATGATGTGAGGGCGGAGAGCCAAGCAGAATCAGTGGTGATCAAAAAGGTACCGTTCAGCTTTAATGGAGGCGTATCTGCCAGGTGGTTTACTAGGTTCTGCAGATGACGCGGGCAGAGCCGCATAGTTCGGAGGTTATTGTCTCACATTCACTTGCTTGCTTTTGAATGAAATTTGATCTTCGTGAACCTGCTTTGCAATAAGCACAAACACGTTATTTTGACCACATTAACAACACATTTTTTGAGTAAAATAGAAAAAGGTATTTATTTTACAATAGTGTGAAGCTTGATTCACAAAACCATCAAAGAAGCGGCATTGGAAACACTTGGATAAACCGTCTGTCAATCAAACTCTTGGTTGTGCCAGTCGGGACCAGAGTGAAAATTTTCTATTGAGAAAATCCTTCAGTGTCGCTCTCATTTCAATGAAAGAAAATACTCTCCAGTTGTGAGGGAACGGATGCTGTTGCAACATCTTCAGGAGCTGCCATTGTTGCCTAGAACAGAGTGTGTCGTCTCGCACACACTTGGTTTCATTTACAACACCGCCGGATGACCCAAGCAATGTCAAGCGTTTCCCCAACTTTTCTGTCAGGGAGGCGCCCCGCAGTGTTCCACCCCGACACGTGGGCACATATGTCCCTGTATGCGCTCGCACCATCGGACAGAGAGCACGCAAACCCCCCCCTGCAAGGTTGTAGACCTGGGGGAAACACAGCATATTATTTCCTTTTCAAAGAATAAGTCTAACTATAGCTCAGATATGATCATCAAACCTGAGCAGATTTAATTAGAAATACCGTTTGCAGACGCTGAGCCACACGCAGGGAGAGCTGAGATACCGAAACTCTGTTGGTAGAGATTACAGCGTCTCTATGGGAAACAACATAAAAGTTGCTTGTCATAAAAGTACTTCAGTGAATTTGTCTCAAAAGGAAGATGTTTTCCTTAAGCACAACGTTGAAGCTTACTGACTATTTAAAAAAAGAGGTATGAATATCAAATCTTGACAACTAATTTAATGTAAGTCACTAAAACTAAAAGAAGTTTCATTTCAAGGCACCAAAATAAAGCCTGGCATAAATATCATGATACCTGTGTGAAAACATGGGATTTATTTAATACTTTCTACCCTCTGATTTGAACGTCTTTCAGGCTCGTTCCTCATGAAGAGTTAATTTAAATAAATACGTTTATAAATATTCATGATAGATTAATAAATATTCTCTGAATTCACGTGGCAATTTTCTTCCCCTGAATCGATATAAAAGAATCAGAAGCGGCCGTGCATGCGTGACGCCCGCTCTGGAATTCTCCGGTGGGCCGCGAGTTTGACACATGTGGTCTGAAGCGGTGTTCATATCTATCAATGAACAGTTAGAGGTGGATCATTCTTTTTGATTTTTCAGTACGCAGCCCCCCTAAAAACGTTTTTGTTCAAAGTACACTAATATGCGGCTTTTCAATTGGAGTTTGTCTTATTCTGGGTTAGTATAGCTCAGCATTTTACAGAATCACCAATGAATTTCACGTAAAATGTCTCAAGCAGTTTCTAAACAGAAGACATAATGACCAAGTAAAGGCAAATAGTTTGCTAAATACATGAACATAGAATGTTTGGTAAAAGGATTTATTGTGGATGAATGGATCTGTATTTAATCCATGTTGCATTATCTTGTTCTTTCTTATTCTCTTTAAATGAATGAAACAAATAACAGCTAATAACTTTGATGCGTACAGTCTCCTAAACAAACAGGGTCTCTGTGGAACGGCTAATTATTTCATCTGAGAAACAGGTTTTGAACACCTGCACGCTTTCTAAAGTCAACTTCAAAATGGTTGTAGTTGTCTTCCTAGATGTGACAAAGCTCATTAGTCCCTGAACAAAAAACAAGTCTTGAAAAGGGGACTTCAATCATGAAGTTTTTGTTAAGTTCTGATCACAGACTCCACGTCATTGCTTCTTCCAATAATTAGAAAAACAGGCAGCAGCAACACGTGTGCACTAATTGGCATGTTACTGAATTGGTATTCAGAATCTGTGTTGGAACACCCGAAAGGGTGTAAAGGGTGTAAAATGTAAAACCTGAAACCAAGTCCCGCCCATCAATCATTGGGAAGCATCAGTGCTTGTCAACTACCCGGCCGTGTTTCATAGACTCGGTGAATGGCAGCAGGGGGCGGGCCTTAGTGATGGGCCAATTGGTTTCTCAACATGTATACGTCCTTTGATAAAAATCAGCAGAGTAATAATACTGCTGACAGAAATTGGGAAAGTAACGTGTCTACAATCAATCCCCTTTGTCACCGTGGACACACGCGTCGGCCACAGCTGTCCAGCTGTCTCCCCTCCACTTCCCTGTCGTCTCTCTGTTTGCTACAAAGGGACAGAAAAGGTATGAGGACCAAGAGTTCTATTTAAAACAACAAAAAGCAAGCAGGCTCGTCTTCCATTATGTCTTTTTTCTCCGATGACTAAGTACTAAGACACACACACAGAGATAAAGTAAAGATTTGATGACTGGTCCACATTCAGATTGACCTGCTGCCTTTAATGGTGACCCTTCCACCATTTGACCATTGAAACAGAACCCTACGACATGTACATCATAACACTGCGCACTTACACCCAAATGTAATCTTTAATTCAGATGTGTATGGTAGCACTCAAGTGCCCTTGAGCAAGACACTTCAGACTAGTGGTCCTCAGCAGCTTCCAGGTTTGTGCGAGTGAAATGTAATATTTCTGAGGAATGTTTTTTTTTTATTGTATGTTCTATCGTAACACACTTGCAGGCGTGGATCACAGGCCTGCGTACTACAATCATCTAATTCTTGAATGGTAAAGTGGTGCCTGAGAATTGGCACCATAAAGATCTTATTTAGTGTTGTACTTCTGAAGTGCACGCCGACTTTTAGTCCGCAGTAAAGTTCATTCACACAGATTGTTCATGGGAAGTGGACGCCACCCAGCTTAAAGTTATCTTTCTGGTGAGCTCAATGTTAAAGATAAAAACACGGACAACAGCGTATCAGTGCAGTCCCAGCAGAGCACAGTCTGTTTATCATCGGTTTCCCTCTAAATGGAAATGACTTTACTAATCGAACATCCCGCTGTATTGAAGAAGACTTCAAATCTACAGATTTAGACCTAAACTAATGTTTACAAAGTTTACTGTGGGAATAAACCACAATAGAAGAAGAGTCATTTTCTCATAGACTTCTATACAATCAGACTAATGTGGTTGATGATGACCCATTTCCGTCTTTGCAAGAAGAGGAGAAATTCTCCCCAAAAACCATCTAACTGAAGGATATCTACAGAATGAGGAGATGCTCTTTGAAGCCCTTTTGATCTGGAGTCAGAGTGAGAAATTAACAATGCCCGATCAGCTGCTTACATGGCACTAAAGAGTGAGGGGGGCCGGCTCTTGCACGGGGGCCACACCCGGCCCGGCGCCATGCAACTCGCTGGTATACGAGCACATCGTCACCGGGAGCCGCTTTCATCCTGAGATTCCTTGAAAAGGAGACGTTGGCCGGCGTTATGTAAGCGCATTAAATAGTGCAGCACTCCCGGCCCTCAGCCCCCCCCACCCCCCACCCCCCTCACAAAGGATGATGATGCTGTGTGTGGCGGTGCGCTTATTAAGCACTCAATTAAAAGCTGATTCCAATGAGAGGCAGCGCGCGACAATGTTTGAATTAGGAACCGTCGCGCCGGCTCAGGCGGTCTGCAGAGGACCCCAAAGGACAGTGGCAGTAAAAAAAACAGGAAGAGGAATTATTTCCAATGTGATTGGATTACAAATAGGGCGTTTACAGAACCAACGGGAGAGGATAGATGGAGCAGGAAACGGGAGCTGTCTCCATGATCCGTCTCGCCTCTCTTCCTCCTTCAATCTGAATATTCAAAACGAACGGCGAGCAGGGGACCCGGGTAAACGGCGCCACGGCGCCCTGCTGCATTTTACTCAAGTGTGCTTATTCCTGACGAGTTGCGTCAGGCCCCGCGATGCACAGCGGCGTGCTCACGAGGGCTGTTTTCTTTTTTGTGGGGAATCGTACTGAATTCTCCTTTGACTGAAGGAAAGATGTAGAGGAAGAGCTAAAAGGTAAAAGATTTGTCTCGATTTAAATGAGGAAAACTGCGAGGAATCAGCCTTTTGAGACAATTGTTCCAATATTTAGTGGCGGTTATAAAGAGACACAGAATCATTATAAGCAAACCGGATCCTCGAATGCAGCCTAATAATGACGATTGTTTCTTCTTTACGAGTTTGACAAAGAAATAAATCAGCACTTTGCTGGAGCTCGTCACACAGCTGCATTATTCAAACCAAGCGATGCACGGCACACATAACGAGTGATATCTGGAGTCTGCAGCTTCCGTCCTCGTGCGCTGTGCTGTCGCAGAAAATCTCACTACGCTGTTTACTTTGAAAATCCAGCGGAGGGACTGAAAAAGGAAAAAAAGAAAAGCAGCCGTGCTCAGCAATTGACACCAGGCATTTGTTTTTTTGTGTTTGCTGCATGATGCAGTGTTTATCCCCGGGAAGTGATTTCTAACCAGATCAGCAAGGCGCTGGATTAATACGCTCACTTCAGATGCTACGTTGTCTGCTACAGTGGAGGCAGCGATGACGGGTCCTCGACAGCAAGGGAATGACGAGGAAATGAACTGATGTTTAATTCTTATCATATGAAAAAAGCTGCAAATTAAGGTTTCAACTGTTATTCCTATCAGATTGATCTGCAGATTATTTCCTCTGTAGTTCCCAGAAAATAATAAAATAATTAATTAACAGGTAGCGTAATTGATGAGTTGAAAAATTACTCAAACTATGATTTGATCATCAAAATAGCTGCATATGAAGTTATTGATGACAATTGAATTAGGAACTACTTACATCTCGTCTCCTTGCAGCCTCAGAAATGTGACGCTGTCTCCTTCCCAACAACTAATCGTAAACTTTAACAATATTCACAGTCCTTTATCTTCAAGCGTAAACAAAACTACTAGGTTTTGTAAAACCTTGAGGTTTGAAAAAAAAAAGCAACAGACATTTGGTTTCACTCGGGGGACAGCCGTCCTCTGTCCCCCGAGTGAAAGTCCTCCTCACACTGGTTTCTAAAAGTTCTCATTAGAAATGCATCTTCGATGAGTCAACAACAAATGGAATTCCCAATCCCGTCACAATGGAATTCTCATGGCGGCTCTGTTGTCATTTTTAGGCGACCGGGCTGCTAAAATGTTGCTATAAAACAGTATTTTATTAAGCATTAAGGACCAACAACAATAACCCAACAATCTCTACTGTGTGTCAGAGGCATCCACAGGATCGTTAAGACGAAGCGACAAGTCGCACATCGCCGCCGCCGCCCACAGTTCAAACTCCCTGATCAATGAAGAGCAACGACGTCATGTGACAAAACAAGTCCATCTGAAGGAAACAGCACAGACACATTGTTCCTCGAGCTGCAGCTTTCCTGGAGAGACATGAAATAAAAATGCTCTCGACGACACATTTTCTTCTGATACCTCCAGGCGGAAGTAACGCGCAATCAAATGTTAATGCCGTGTGTCGTCTAAAAGCAGACCTGCCGAAGGGCGTGTCGGGCCTCCACGGAGCCGTGTTCCTACGGGACGCAGCCATCAGGGGCCCGTCAACACGGGGAGCTTCATCACGCAGCTCTGCCATCTCTCTTATGTTAAGATCTCAGGAGAGTCTCAGGCTTTTGGGGGGGAAAGATCAGTTTGTATATTTCACAAAATCAAGACCTCCAGATGAAAGGTTTCATCGCTTCCCTCACACACACACACTGAGGTCACTGGAGCTGCTCCCCAGACTTTGCAGTGACAAAAGCACATTTGGACATCAGATTAGCGGCTCTGACAGGTGTTTCCATCGCTCCCCGACTGCGCCAAGCGGTTTGAGAAGCAGAAATTGTTTTTAAAAGATGAAATGAAATCTAAATTAGGCTTTTTTGGCAGAGGCAGCCCTGTGAATTTGCTGTCACGTGGAAGCAGGTTCCAGAGGCCACCTGGTGGGTATCTGAGTGACACGAACACGAGCAGAGCAGGATTCAAACCACCAACCAGACCAACATTTATTCCCGCTTGATGAATCCTTGAAGTCCACGGATCAAGTTCGGTTAACTGGTGGTGAAATATTACATTTAAAATATTAAAAGATGGACGCGTGAGAGAAGCGCGCGCGCGCACGAACACACACACACACACAGTAGGTGGTCGCCGTAATCAAGTAAATCCGCAGGGATTATGGAGGGTGAATGCACGAGGATTACCAAACATCTGCACGGATCGGACACACACACACACACACACAGACACACACACACACACACACGCGCGCGCGCGCGTAGATGACTCCGCTTCCACCATCATAGTCCCACAACAAAGTACACAGCCGAATGAGACGAGCCGAGGCAGGAATTCGGATGGCGGAGGTTTAAAGTTTAAAGGACGCACGGCGGAATCTGCTCGAGCTCATCGGGACGGAACTTGAGGCGTTGAAGTTGCGCTCTGTGAAAATGGAAATATATGAAATATCAAAATAGCCAGAATGAAGTGTCGTACCTGTCCTCGTGGCTGCGACGTCTCCGAGGAATTCACCGCCCGAGATTAATCCGTGTTTTTACCTCTAAGCAAGATTCTGCTGCACGGACATCTCTGTCGACGCTCCCGGCCAAAAGCCCCCCAAAGCCCCCCCAGCGCCTCCCCTCCCTCCCCCCGCGAGAACAAACCACAAATTATTGTTATCAAATATCCGCGTGACTGATGCGCTGCCTCTTGATTTTCTTCTTCCTCTTCTTCCTCTTTTGTGTCGGCTCTTACGTTCGAGGGCTGGGCCGCTCCGCTACTGGAACTCCCCCATCCCTGCCTCTCCTCCCGTCTCTGTCTCCCCCCTCCCTCTCTCCCTCTCTCTCTGTGTGTGTCAGAAGCACAAGTAGCCTAGCTGACGGCGCAGCGTCTCGCAGGTTGCATATTGGAAAGTGACCCCCCCCGATGCGTCGAGTGGGTCTATGCCTCTAACTCCCTTCCACCTCGAGCCGTGCCGGAGCGGGACGCACGAGCGGGAGAGTCCTCCTCCTCCTCCCGGGTTCCACGGTGATGTCGTTTACCTGGACGTTGTTAAATAACATTGGAGCTGCTGCCCGAAAAGGCAACAATTTACAAACTCAAACACTCTGTAGCTCATTTTTAATGGCTGAAAATCTCCAGGTTATGCTTTCTAGGTTTTTCTACATTTTTCTACAAACCAAAATCCTTATACAGGCAGACATTTAGCTGGTGAAATGTTCACCGTTTTTTTTGTCATCATTATCATTAATATGAACTAATATGAATATAAAATAGTTCATTTTATGGTGTGTTTACAGGCATGGTAACCCCAAGCAATACCAAAGACTAACCTGAAGCTACTGGTGATAACGCGTTTGCGATTACGCCATTCTGCCGCTGCTACGATCTCTGGCGAACCGCCGGCGGCCCGCCGACTCATTGCTGTCTGGGAAGAAGTAAGTCTACTTCTGAATATGCTCTGAAAAATCCCCCCTGATTCAGCGTCGATGAGGACGAAAGACTAATTAGAAATAAAACAATGGTGGAAGTCTCGGGTTAGAAATGACTGATTGTGGCTAAGCTAGGCCCGAGGCTACATTAGCAGCTAACACACCTCCTAATACTGGCCGGCAGTTGGGATGCATCGTGGAAGGTTTTCACTTGGAACAAATTAACAACTGGCCAAAACTTTCTCCAATTAAAGATTGTTGTTTTTGGTAAGAAGGATGAGCGATTGAAAGTCGGCGCTGAGCTTCAGTTTCTGATGTCAAAAAACACAAACCAAGCTAGAAATCTGGGTGTAATTATGGATTTGGACCTTTCCGGAACAGCCATATGGAGGCGGTTACAAAATCAGCCTTAAATCCTCTAATCCTGGATATATTCTTATGTCTCAACAACATTTGGAAAAATCGTCCATGCATTTATGTTGAGTAGACTCGACTACGGTAGCGGTGCGTTTAGACGTCTCTGTAAAAGACATCAGAAAGCTGCAGCTCGAGTCCTCACCAGCGGATCACATCACCATTTGTTCAGGGCTTTACACAGACTTCCAGCAAAGAATTGACCGAAATCCCGCTGTTGGTTTATAAAGCACCGAATGGTTGTGATCTGCTGATACCTTATGAACCGTCCTGAGCCCTCAGGTTGTCTGGGACCCGTCTACTTTCTGTTCCCAGAGATAAAACTAAACATGGAGAAGCAGCGTTCAGTTTTTCTGCTCCACATATCTGGAACAAAGTCCCTCAGTTCCTTTTTTAAATACAGACTAAAGACGTTTTTTGCTGCTGCCTTTAATTGACCATTTATGCATTTTGGGTCTCTTAAACTACACTTCAAATTTTGTTCTAGTTTTTTTAACATTGTCTTTTGTCTTTCAAACAATGTCAACTGTTTGTTTTTTTTGATGGTTTTACGGGAATGTTGTTCAAATGTGCTATACAAATAAAATGACCTTGGAAGAGGAATACAAATAACAGAAAAAACTATCCTCTGGTACTGCTGCATTCATTTTCATGTGATTTTAAATCAGTGTTACTTGAGCTCGGTTCTTCAATTTTCTTATTTTTGTCAGATTTGCTTCTAATTATGTTTCTGAACTGATGACCCAAAGACATTCAGAACATTAAACGTGTTTCTGTCCCCGTTCTGGGGTCAACATGGCGTTTTCTTCAATATTAAATTTGAATTATTAATATTGCAGAAAGGACTGTAGCCCCCCCGCCCCTCTTGTGACCCTCTGAGGAAAGAGGTGTAGAAGCAGCATTGCAATTAATGTGAAGTAAAGACATTTGAAGGAAAAGATAGTTACATGATGAAAATACTGAAAGTACACGACCCATTTTAAAGCGTGATTGGATGCAGACAGGACCATATTAACCCTGGGTAACCGATTTGTTTAACGGTTCATTTCAACGGTTCATACGAGCTTTTAGACGAAAATGTCAGCTTCTTGAACAGAACAAAGGCTTTTGGAAAATAGCATCTGTCTGAACAGCCTAGATTGGTGAATGAGCAACAGAATCCAGCATTGTCTCCCTTTGGTTTGTGTTTTATATCCTTTTCCCTGTGGTTCATTCATTCCATTTTTCAGGTCATATTCAACAAAAGAACGAGGTATTTTTGCAATAATAGATGTATGAAATGAGCCAGATCTGTAGCCTGATGTGCATTCGTAGAGAAGCTACGTATTAGGCAGTTTACATAAAATATGCCGGCAATGCGACTGTGCTTGAATTTCACAATGTGTATTTTTCTTTTAATACCACATACTTGGAGAAATATGACAACTGCATTTAATTTCATTAGAAACAGTAAAATAAATACTATAATTGAGGTCATGGTGAGACCAAGAACTACAGTGAAGTCACCATGAGCTCTCTCGTAAAACAAGTCCCTAAAGTGATTCTACTTAGGCCAATACCAGCCAGTGCTCCCACTACGGCTTTTCCCACCGATCAAAGCTCTCCCTCCCGCATCATTCATCGCCTTCTCTGACCAGTCAATAAACAAAAAAGAGGGCTATCTTCAATCAAGTCGGATCGCTTGAAAGGATCAATATTTGCCACTGCTATTGACGGGGGAGGTCAAACGGGTCTGTGACCTTTTAGAATCTCATGAAATTCAATAAACCGATTCTCCCAACACTGGTGAATCCGCTGGTTTCAGCCGGCGCTGCACACGGGGAGCGATGGAGGAGCTGAAACATAATCACACAGGCCTGTCAGAGCAAAAAGAGTGCAGTGAGCTGGTGTGTCAAAAGCTCTCAGAAGATACCCAGCAGCTCTGACAGGGCACACTTTGAATTATCCACACGTTAGTTACTTCTCAAGCTCTATCCAAGAGAGAAGGTTCTTCCACTATTGAGATACCAGATATTTGCTTCCACAGGTGCTTCAAAATGCAATATAGACAGTTTCTTCTCTCATGTTTGCTCACTTGCAGGTTGATACAGTTTTTGGTCAAACTTCATTGATCTGCAAATCTTTTAACTGGAGACTATTCAAACTTTAACCAGACCCTCAGGAAAAACACAACTGAACAGTTGAAACAAAGTAATTTGAGCTAAAAATAATAAAAGGGCAGCATGTGGCACCAATTAGATGCTCCGTCCAGCTTAAAGTTGCAGATCACATTGCACGGTCAACACACACACACACACACACACAAAGCAATAAAACCAACTAAACGTCATTCTCTGTGATTATAACGGAGGTGTGACTCTTCAGAGCTCAGGCAGCCATAATTAATTTGCCAAGTAAAGTATTCATATTGATTTCCCCTCCCTCATTAGCCAAATATGTTTAAATATATTAATGACTCTGGGTTTCAGGCACCGCGCCGCATGTTGCTCTGAGTTTAGGCTTCCAAAGACCTCCCAGAAATGGGTGTGCAGCGGAGGTTCTGGAATGTAAAGAGAAATTGTTAAAAACGTTGGTGCGGCTCCGCTACACCGGACTGTAATGACAAACGAGTTAGTAGCCGAACGGAACACCGTAAGCGCAAAAGAAAAAAACCCAACAAGCCTCATGGGTCAGAGGCGAAGCAACCATTCCACACATTCGTGGTCGCTACGTCACTCGGGTGGCTCCGATTGGAGTCAGCCAGGGTTGCTCTTGAATGAAATTAAATGTGTCCGTTAGTGAGTAGGGATCGCCAATTAGCAAAACGTTTTCTGTTGCTCCCGCGCTATCGGATGACCGGATTCTTTTTTCCCCCCAATGGCAGGCGGTGGACCTATTGGGTACCCTGCTGTGCATAGTCGAGATATAGTGTGGTCCGAGGTTTTTACAAGTGCTTTCACATTTTGGATTTTGTAAAGATTGATCAAATAAATGTAAATTAGTGAGCATTAGGGGGACCGGGAGAAATGTTTTTTTTTACATATGAACAGTGGTCTTCTGGGTCACAGTCTGGCGCTTTCCCCCCCAACCGTCCACCCTGATGTACTCCCTGCCACCCGCCCACCATGACTCCAACGGACCATTAATAGACTGCGGCGGGGACAATGAGGCCACGGAGACATTGACGTAGTCGTGGAGAGCCGGGGTTTAAAACAGAGCCCCGACATTGAAGGGAGAGACGCTCTACCTGATAGCAGAGGTGCTAATTGGATTTTTGTTTTTTTTATGTAGAAGTTAAAAAAAACTGACCACCTTAACCTCATATTTGAATCCTTGGAGAGACGCCACTACAGGTTACGATGAGATTAACGAAAGTTACATTTGTTTAATCAATCTGGTATAATTTTGCGTCAACCGTTCCATGTCGAGGTTCCTTTCAATGATATTCATGTCTTTACTCCCAGTACCTGAATTACACGCTCAAGTCTGCAATTAGTTCAACCTTTGATCCACCATTTTGCCATTAACCCGATATAAGCCTTACTCATAGTGAGAGGGATTTAAGTAGATCCGCTCCTTTAAAAAAAGATCAATTCATGTAATGGTAATTAGTCATATGGAGGATATTCCTAGTTGACCTGTTAAAGAGCAGAAAAGGAGACAGATGATCTAAGGCGGGCGATATTAACGGGGGAAATGTCGCTGCACGTTGAGTGCATGATGAATGGATCTAACCTGCTGATGCAGTGGTTGGTCGGCCAGCTTAAGGAGCACCTTTCAAACGCGTGCTGTTAGCATCA